GGGTTCAACAGTATTAACATCTGCCAAGTTACAGCTGACCATAAGTGGTTGGGGGAACTTGAAGATACCCGGAAACATCTAAAGGGAAAGTTGCTGAATGTGGAGTGCTTCTGGTCAGATGAATTCAGTGACACTTGGAGAAAGTATATGTGTCCTTGAAATTTGGTATATATGGTTTGTGAAAGAGGCACCAATTAATGGGATTAAACCTGAATTGGAGTGTGACTATAAAGCCTTCAAAAGAAAGAGGTGAATGTTTGAAGCAGTGTTGGGTGCTTGAAATCCAGAAGTGCCAGAATTGGGCAGAATACCGTCTGTGAGGGTTTGGTCCTTGTCCTTGCTGAAAATTGCAATGAGAAAGAGCTTTTGATATGTGTTGTCTCATTAGAGATTCAGTCAGTATCCTCTGAGTATCCAGGCGCTGAGTTTTATCTCTTTGTATGATGCTGGGTTAGTTTTGTAAAGACTGAATTTATTTACATGGAATCCAGTCATTATCAAATTATTACTAAACGGTAAATAGCCTGCATGCTTCTACCAGTTATTATTGAATGCCCCCTGTATGATTTACTTACATTTATACCATTAAAGATAATGGCATCATAAACTTTGAAACAAGATCAGCAAAGAGCTGTTACAATTTGTAGGGGTCTGTTTCCAAATCCTATTAAAAATAAAGTCTGTGGGAAAATTGCCTATTTGAAGACATTACAGAAACTGCTACTGTTGAAGACAGTGTTCTGTTGAAGAACGAGAGCACCAAAAACATTGAATTGCACCAGAGATCACGTAAAACAGTGATGAGTAAACATATCTTGAAAGGATCAAATAAGTTTTATTTTTAATCTTTTAAAATCCAGGGGTATTTTATCACTAGGACAGTGCACTTCCAGTTTAACTTTTGTGACTGACCTGTGCATTCCCACATAATTAGGGGCAATAGTGAACATTTGTGCCTATGATGGTGCACCGTGTATCTTGAATATGCCTTCAGCCCACATAGGAGGAAGTGAGAATGTGTAAGAGCCTGAGTATATGTGTACCAAATTGGAAAGGTCCAGATTCCATGAAATGCAATGAAGATGGAATTTCTTTAGTTGTGTTTCTTTACTAGCAGTGTCTAACTTAGCAATGTGTTATATTGTGGGTTGTACTACTTAGCAATTCTATCACTAACCATCATATTATGGCATTAATGCTTCCATAGAAAGTGGATGCTTTTTCTCCCTGAATTACCAAATTACTCAAAACGTTGAAGTATTTGGGCACTTTCAGGTGTTTTTCAGTCCCTGCCTTATTCTTGTGTTTTATGCTTTAAAGATGGCCAGGGTTCAACCAGGTCCTGGTGCTGTGAGTGGAATCTCCACTTACGTTCATAGGAACAGAAATAGGCGATTTCACCATTTTTTAGATCACAGCAGAAATGCATTTTGTGTCAATGAAACCATAGGGAGAATATTCTCTCTCTGTCTTAATGGGGAGAATCACCTCCTCCCAATAAGTTGAATAGAGATGTCTGTGGTCTTCATTTCTAGCTTATAGTGTCAGTGAAGAGATCCTGCAGGAATTGACTTCTCCCAGGTCACATCAGACCCACAGTTTTAAACATTAAGTACAATGCAACGCAATTTACATTTATATAGGACCTTTCACATTGTGGGAGGACATCTCAAAGCATTTCACAGTGCTGGATGCAAGAGTATTGAGACTGCTAGAAGCGTACAAATATCTATGTTTTAATTCCCCATATACAGTTTCTCTTTAAATTACTTTTCAGCATCTGGTCCTTCCCTACATCTAAATCTTGTTGATCTCCCATTTTACTAGTAATCCAGATCTTGATAATTGTCACTTAGCATAATTTTTAGAATGTTAGATCCAACATTTGACAGCAGAGAGTGCAGAGAAGGTTAGATTAATTGGTTCTGTCAGTAACAAAACTCAATTAGCACAAGTTTTAGAAACCCATTAACATAATGGGGTCTAATTGCACAATTCCTAATTAAGCAATCCAAGTGGTGCAAATGGGGTAGCTCTTCTGGTAACTGGAGCTACATTACGCTGACCACAGGAACTCTGTTCCACCGCGATCGAACAGAGTTCTTGGGGTGTTTCAAGAATATGGTTAAGATATACTACAAATTAAACCAAAATATTTCACAAACCACACCAGCATATGATTAATACTGAAAGCGATATGTATCCCACAGGACAGGCTGATCTCGAAACACTGTAATACCTGCAGCCTAAGGCTTCAAAGTCTCAATGGCTTTTGTACCTTCAAATCAAATAATTGCAAAATGTCCTTTGCAGTCTGAAAGTTTGAAAGAAGAAGATTTCCACACACACACTAATGGATTATTCCTTTCTGAGATTTGTCTCCCCCCTGTTTTCCCTCCACTTTTCTGCCCTTCTCTCCTGAAGGCACTGATACGGTTCTATACACACCAACTGTCTTCCAGTATCTCGACACATGTCCCTTCTTTCACTATGAGCCAGAATAATGACATCTGGCAGTGGCAGACTTTTAAATATTAAAATAATCATAGATAAGTCAAGCCTGCCATCACCTGGTGCACCTTCAACAAGGGGGAGGGAGCGGGAGAGTCACTGAGCATCTGGGAGGAGGAACCTTGGCTGATTTTATACACTGGGCACTGAGGTCGATTGTAGTGCTTCCAAGCATGAATTTTCTGGTTGAGATGAGTTCACTTAACATTGACTGGGAATGGAACCTTAAGATCTTTTGGTCTGTACAGTGTAGTGCTATACCTGCCGGCGATTTTGCTCACTCGACCATTGAGGATCTACTGCTTTTTACTTTGTAATGGTTTGACTTCAGAAACCAATATCTGTTACGAGCAAATATATTTAATTGTAATTCTGAAGGACTGGGCAGAATGGCTGGTTACAACACTGCCCCTTTATTTGTTCGTGAATGCAGCCCAGACTGGCTGGATGAAGGTCCCTTGTCTCTGATGGCGACTGGTAGTGCAAAGGGTTAGAACAATTGTCCTTTCATCTCTGGGACCTGGCTTTGAATCCAGTCCAGTCTAATGGGTGAAGCTCTTCTCTGTCCTCTGCGTGCAAAGGTTATAAATGAAACGTGTTTCGAGTCATCTACAACCAACTTCTAATGAGCCCAAGTCCAAAGCGCAAACTGACCATAATTTTGACTAATTGGCCATGTCATTTCGATAGGACATAAAAGCAGCAGGTGCAGGAAATGGAAATACCAGGTGTAGTGGAGGGTGCTTATTCAACGTGAGATTAAAGTGCATTGCTGGAGCAATATTTTCACTGTTAACTTTCACTGTACTTACTTCAAAGCACTTGATTAGATGGTACAGAGGGAGCTTCGTTCGTCACCCAACCCGCGCGATACCTAATCCAAACAAGTGTTTAATGGGCAGTGCGTATTTTACACACTGCATCTGATGTTTGATATGGTATATCTGATTCTTGTTCTTGTTAGTAATAATGAGTGCATTCACCAGAAGTTAGTTCTTTCTCATTGATGGACATAAAAATGTTATCATAAATGGCAATGAGACAATCCAGTTACCATCAGGATTACCTAGTTTCCCCTGGTGTCCTGGCCAACAATCCCATGAATAAAATTGATCATTCAGTTCATGGCTGTTTGTGGGGAGTTGCTGTGCGCAATTTGGTTGACGTGTTTGCCTACAAAATACACAGTCACTGCAGTCATTTCACAGTGAATCCTGTGAGGAACTTTGAGATGTCCTTCCAACATGAGAGTGGGTTTGGACTCGAGTCAATGTAAATGGCTCCTGTTGCAAATTGCAGCAAAATTAGACCCCAATATTGAATTGTAGGGATGTGAAGAAAACAGCAATGTAGTGGAGGGTGGCTTATAATTAGTCCCAACAGGAGGTGTGGTTCATAATTTTTGTGATTTTGGAAATTGCATGATGCTGTAGTGGGAAAACTGTCAGTTTGGCATCATGGAAGGATGCAATTTGAACATCTCTTGTGGAATACTTGGTGAATTTCAAACGAATATGACAGCTGGTACTAAGACATCAGCACCTGGGATAAGTCTGATATCAGGTCAGATGTGATGATGTTGTCATGGAACCCAAGCGGAGACTGGATACTAGCCCGGAATACTCTGAATGAACCCATCCTGTGAAGTGCTGCTGATTATCATGTGATGCTAATTGCTGTTCAACATGAGGAATTGGAACTTTCAGGGAGTCATGAGCTGAGCTAATAGAAAAGTGTGGAAATATTTGCCCAAAATTGCGGCGAGATTTAAACATATTGCAGTGGGAATTTTGACAAATTTTACAGAAAATGACGGGAAGTTGACTGGTGCTATTGAGGTACATTTTCCTGCCAACCTACATGTTTTCACTTTATTGATAACAACTAAACATGAGGAAATAACACATATTAGATTGTTGCAAAAGAAAATTGAATTCTTTAACAAAAACTGTGCGGGGGGGTGGGAGGGGGGTACACCAGCGAGGCTACACGAGATCTCAGGGCCCAGCACCGCACACAGACCCAGAGAGAGAGAGAGACACACACAAAGACACACACACACACACAGTCAGAGACACAGAGAGGGACACACTCATTCAGAGATACAGATGAGCGTTCGGAATTGTCCCGCCCACAATGACGTCAAGTAAACAGCCAGGAGGCCCGCGGGCCAGAAACAATATTGATAGCGGGTTTGTAGAGGAAGAGGGTGTTTGTAGCGGATTCTGCGGGAAAAGTGCAGTCGCACTTTTCTATGGGCCCAGGTCATGAATAATGCTCATTGCCTGTGAGGCTTTACTTTCTATAAGTGATCTATGACAATTAAACATGCTTTTTGCTACCCCCCCACACCCAAAAAAAAATACAGATATATTAAGGTTCATTTATCTTCAGGCCCTTGCTAGATTATACCGTGTAGGACAAGCAGTTACCCAGCAACCAAGTGCAAAGCAATAAATCCTTAATTTTCATACACTCAGTGTAGGCAGGTTATTGAAGTAATATAGCAATATGTGGTTTGCAGCTTTTCTTATTCGAGAAACAGCTGTGTCTTCCTTATTTTGGTCAGAGGGTGAGCTGTTTCTGCATGGAGGAAGTAGAGACTGCGATGGGGGAATGAAGGAAACAGAATAATAGTAAAAAGGTGAGCTGCCAGAATGGAACAGGAAGCATGAGATATAATAATAATATGACTTTTTTTTAAAAACGATAAAATACATTGATAATGTTAAGGGAGCATGACCAAAATAAAATATTCTTGTTTATTCAGAAGAGGCACTGGAACTGTCTCCTTATTTAACTAGTGTACTGTACATTTGATTTGTGGGTCAGTTGGGAACAGTGGTCGCACTCTCGTCTCTGAGGTAGAAGGTTGCGAGTTCAAGCCCCACATCGGGACTTGGAATCACATAGTCTGAGCTGATACTCCAGTGCGGTGCTGTCAGAGTTTGTAGTGTCAGAGGTGCTGGCCTTCGAATGAGACATTAAGTAAAGGGCTTATCTGCCTGTTCAGGTGGATGTTAAAGATCCCATGGCAATATTCGAAAAGAGATAAAATCGGACACTCACTCTATGGCTATTCGTGGGACATTGTTGTGCGCAACTGGCTGCCGCGTTTCGCCCACAAAATGCAGAATAATTTTACAGTATTTTCTGTGAAGCACATTTAATACAGTGATAAGCACCATACCAAATGCAAGAATTATTATTATTATTTAGGCCTCTTTGGGAACAGAATAAATGCTCTAAACAAGGCCAAGCAAACAGTGTTATTCTTTCTTTAATGGGATTTTGAAACTGCACATTTGAATATTTTATTTGACATTATTTTTAATCACTATTACTGAATGGGACAAATACAGATTTTAAAGGCTATTCCTCTGTTTCAGCAAAGAAAATACGATTATTAATATTTGAGAAATCAAATGGCATGACAGCACTTACTTATCAAATTGCATTAGTTGACTTGCTGTCTATAGTAGCTTGCTGGAACACTCCAGTGTTAAACGTGGTAAAGAGGCAATGGAAAAATTGCCCATGCCATTTCACTATCCAGAGACCCCAGATGCATCTCCCTTATAAATACCAAGTCAGGATAGGGTTGAACTCATGATTCACCCTCTTTCCCATCTTCACCTGATGTCAAATAGCCTGTCTGCTCTCACTGACAAGGCAACGATGGAACCATACCACAATAAATAGTCAAACCCTCGAGGACAGTGGGAGGGGTGAAATGTGGTTGAGAGAAATAAAATAATCCAAATACCCTAATTGCAGTATACATTAGCCACATATGTCTGCAGATATGTATACCACGTTTGTATAAATTTCAGAGAGAACTAAAAAATAAGGAAGTGGAGAAGAAAACTGATGATTCTCACTGTCTCGCTTTCAGATGTTTTTATGCATTTGGTCATAGGAGGATCTTATCACATTGGCTATTCGGCAGAGGTGCATGTCATCAGAAAATTTGTTATGATGTGGTCTTTCAATGCAGTACTTAGGTGGTTCTATTTAGCCGCTTCCTTCAATGTTCTCCTATCACTTTGCTTCCTGGCCGAGAAAACAGAGAACAACGTTATAACAGGCTTTTTCCACCTTTTCGAATTGTAAGCTTTCTACACTCATTTTTAAAAACAAAACATAATTTTGTATTGTCTTTTTCCAGATGCTGCTATGATGCAAATGTGCGTTGTCAAATAGTCACATAGCCTTATGCTCTGATTTGGAGAGATGGAAAATGAAACAAATCGAAACACAGAATGTAATATGAGAGTTAATTGGTTGGTATTTGAAAGACAGGCATTTATTAAATATTGTGTTCCAGAAAAGTGGATGTATTTGTGGTTATGGATTCTTTCACCTCTGAAAGTCTGATTTCAATCGATCCTAAAAAGAATTGATGGAGCAGAGATCTTATGGTGTGTTCCTCTGGAACCTGGGTTTGAACGTAATCCAGACAAACAACAACAAAAAGATTACATTTGTATAGCGCCTTTCACTTCGGGAGGACCTCCCAAGGCGCTGGACAGAGTACAGCATTTCAGACCCGAGTTGGGGTTGGGGGGCTAAGGGAGGGGAGGGGAAGGGGGGTGGCTGATGGCATGGTCGAAGAGGCAGGTCTTGAGGCAGGACTTGAAGGAGGCTAAGGAGGGGGCGAGGCAGAGTGATTGGGAGATGGAAATCCAGAGGTTGGGGGCAGAGTGGCTGAAGCCTCTCCCACCAATGGGTGGGTCGGGGGACGTGGAGCAGGTCAGAGCCGGTTGAGCGGAGGGAACGGGCGGGTTGGTAGGGGGATAGGAGGTCGCAGAGGTGGGGTGGGGCGAGGCCATGGAGGGCTTTGTAGGTGAGGACCAGGATCTTGAACTGGATCCTCTGAAGGATAGGGAGCCAATGGAGTCAAGCGAGAATTGGGGAGATGGGGGTCACGGAGTTTGGTGCAGGAGAGGACATCGGCTGCAGAGTTCTGGATTATCTGCAGCCTATGGAGGGAGGAGTTGGGAAGGCCGACAAGCAGGGGGTTTGCAGAGTCGAGCCTGGAGGTGATGAAGGCATGAACAAGAGTTTCAGTGGCCTGAGGGGTGAGGTAGTGGCGGAGTCGGGCGATGTTACGGAGGTGAGGGAAGGCAGAGCGGGTCATGGCTTGAATGTGGGGGAGAAAAGACAGTTGAGGGTCGAACAAGACACCGAGGTTCCTGGCTGGCTTGGCGAGTTGTAGTGTGCAACCATGGCGGCTGATGTTGCCAGAGCCTGAGGTGCTGATACAAAAGGGAACAACTTCATACATATTTATTTCTGAGATTCCATATAAACAAAATGTAAGCAGGTTTTAATTGGTTACCAGTGGATGCTACTGTGCAGTATTGCCTATAGTTTTTGCACAATTTAAGATTAATCCAGAGATCCTTTCTAGGGGGAGAGTTGTTATTGGCAGAAAAAATGCAGCGCTGGGATAATCTGACTAACCTTTTGAGGTGGTGGTTAGCGTTAATCATTGGGACAATATGTGGGAAAATGTCACACTACTGTACTGCTGTGCCTGATTTGGTATTGAGTGAGGGTTGCCTTCTTCTACAATTCCATCCTTCACCTTTTGAAATATGTGAGGATTAACAGCAGATTCATTGAAGAAGGACTGGCTGTGTCTGTGGTTTGACTTTTAGGTGTTCGTGATTAGTTGAGCAGTATTTTTTTTAAAAAAAGGAATTGCTGTATCCTCTTAAATCAACCGCACAATTGCCTGTCATTTGGCTTGTGGCTTTCTCCCTATCCCTGTTGACCCCTACTTTGTGCTTCCAACACTTTAATTGAGATTGGTAGGTGTGAATGTCAGGTACTTCCCAGCAGGTGGCAGTGGAAGTCAGATGGGAAGTCTACTGAAACATTGGGATAAGATATGGGAAAGGCCTAATTCAGTTAGTCAAAGAGACCAAATTGGGGTCAGAGATTTGAAAAAGCGGCCAAAGTGTGGAAATAAAGGATGAAAAGCAAAATTGGTGACTCAAGGGAGATGGCATTTATAGGGACTTTTTTGTTGCACCTTGGCTGCTTTTGGAAAACACAATTAAATGCTTCCTTTTTCAAATTAGATCCCATTGTGGTACATTTCCTGTAGGCAGGCCAAATACAATATTGATGGAGACCTAAGATGCTCAATCTGCCCTTTTAACATGGGAGCTGGACGGTTTAGAGGATCTAGAAACATGTTTCCTCATAGGAAGGTACAAGCCTCAAAATGAAGAGTTTGGGAAATTAATATGCTGACATTAATATGTTAGATGTTGCTCTCATTAATCTGTAGAATAGTGCAAGTGGCACATAAAGCCATTATATCACTGGACTACTCTTGTTATTGCATTTAAGATTGTTATTTTTAAGAACATGTGGATGGCATTCCAATGAATCAAACCTTTCTATTCATTGCCATCATGTAAAACTTCAATCAAGAAATACCCTTTCCCATTCACTCTGTGTGTGGAGAATTACTTAGCCAAGAAACCATATATTTATATAAAATATTGACTCAAGTGTAAAATGCGATTCAATTATCTATTTTGTTAATGTGAAAGTTCTTGGCCTTGAATTCAGGATTTTACCACGTGGTAACAAGGTTTGAAGTTTGGTCTCACGCTTGTGTGATACACAACATTGCAGTGTCCCTGAGAGCAGTCCTTGAATAAGATACGGCTTAGATTATGCTGATTTGACGTTAAATGAACGACACTGGTTTACAGTATGTGCCCGATCCAGATTGAATTATTAACTGATTAATTCCCCGAGGGAGTGAAATGTGGGGCGAGTTTCCTTACTCCACACACCTTTGTTTACTGAGGAAGTAGAAATCCGGTTGTTAACCGATTGCTGGATTGCTTTTCCGGGAGGTAATAATTCCTTTAAAAAAATTATAATAATAATAAATTGGTCACTTCAATCCACGACTGTTTGTGGGTCATTGCTGTGCGCAATTGACTGCCATGTTTCTCCCAGAATAATATACAGTTAATTAATTTTATATCATATTCTGCGAAGCGCTTTGAGACGTCTAGAAGATGTGAAAAGCGCTATATCAAATGCAAGTATTATTATTATTATTAATTCATTTTACAGTATATTCTGTGAAGAGGTTTGAGACATCGTAAAGATGTGATAAGTTGCTTTAACAAATGCAAGGATTATTATTATTATTAGGGGCCCAAAATTGGCCAATCTGTTTATATTCCTGATATAGGAATACTGCTCCAAATACAATCTTAGAGAGTTATAAATGTTATGGCAGTTTTAATGGTGCATTTACCAGGATTTCAACGTTTAATACTTAGCCAGGGTAACGGCAGCATTGGACTCATGCAAATTGTGTGTCCTCCATACTTTCAGCTGGGGTGTTTGTGAAGAAAACTGCAACGTTTTGATCAGGCTACATTGAATTATCCTCACCAAGTGAGAGCTGGAATGGTAACCCATGTAGCCAGCATTGAAGTGCCCTCCCCCCCCTATTGGATAGTGTTTAATGAAATGAAGTGTCAGCTGAGGAGAAATCCAGCTTTCATACTGCATCTTGAATAACAAATAAGCACTATGTTTCAAATTGCGTGGGAACAGTGCGAATGTGGATCGAGTGCTGTGTCTACGGTAACTTTGGGTAATTTAATAGACTATCGATTATTGATGTAATCAATGGAATATTCAGATCTATTAAATCATAGTAAAATGGACCTCCCACTCAGCAGCTGTCGAATTGTAAGGGTAGTTTCTCTGGATTTTATTTTTCTTGCTTTGACAATAATAGTTTGGTGAGAGGTTCTGCTGTTTGGACATTGACAGTGTCCCAAGAGAGACCAAGAGAAGTTATTCTGATTCCATATCAAAGGAGACCATGCTGACATTACCAACAAAACATTACCAACAAAACCTGCCATTGTGCGCCAGGGGAGGCTATGCCGGGATGCACAATGCTGATCAGTTCTAGGAAAACCGCTACAGCTTATGCGCCATATAGATGCTGTGCTGAGACGGATCATATGGTCATATAGTTTTGCCCTCAAACCATACAGTCAACTCACTTTACAGTATATTCTGTGAAGCACTTTGAGACATCTCGAAGACATGATAAATGTAAGAATTATTAGTATTATAGTCAACAACATAAATTATTGTCCATGGTGGCATCACATAAAGACTGTAATTTTGGCTACATTTACTTCAGAAATGGAATTCCTTACTGACAAACATGGAAAATGCACATTCTTGCCTTCATGGCTCATCACCAGCTCAACGTGATTTTCCCGTCATTCCTTTGAGGATGTTAACATCCAGCAATTCTCTGCAGCTTATTCCCATCTGTTGGCCTCTCTCTCTTCTTCATTCAAGTACTTCTGTGTGTGTATTTTGCTGCCTGGGTTTGGTATATTTTTGCCAATCTTTTTACGTGTATGACTATTAACTGATGACTTGATTCCAATTTCAGAATTTAGCCACATCTCCCATTTTGGATGTTGATTTTTGATGCTTTTATATTGAATTTGGAAAATTAAACGATTTGATTCCGCTTCGTTGAAATCAGGTTACTAGCTACTATGTGTGACACTTCTGAGTTGAGAACCAAAAACTTCAATCAATAAGGACCATTAAAGTCTTGCTTTTACCAATTTTAGCTAGTAAGTCAGTTGGTTTTTTAAAAAAATATTTTTACCTCATTCATTTTTAAAATCCAAATTCACAATTTTTGGGCATCCATGATAGTACACATGCAGTCGGAAGCCAGAAATATTCTCAACAGTCAGTTGAGGGACCGATGTTGCAGCCAGATAGGCTTCCCAAAGCAAGCTTTAAGCAGATGTTCCAAAAGAAACCCAATTTTCATTCTTTTCATTGTGATGCATCTCTCTCTATTTTTTTGACTGAAAAACTAGACACAACAAATAACTGCGTTCTTATTTTGGGAAGAAAAGAAACAACTTTGATGGTCCTCATCAATGAGGAAGTTGCCATTTCTACAGTAGGATTTGAGCAACTGTATCAGAGATGGGTATGATGCTGTACCGTATCTATGGTAATGATACAACATAAGAATTTGCTACACAAAAGAAGACCAAGGTCCATCTGGTTTGCCTTCCACCATCCTGGTAGCACTTAACATGTCATGTCGCAAACTATATACTGTATATACATCAAGATGGGAGGCAATATGTGGGCCTGTGTGCCACTGAAGTACATCCACCTTAACTCAATGATTTGTTTGGAGTCTGTATTTGAGTCATTCCTGGAAAAGTCATCAAATCATAGTTGGATGTATATGAGCAAAAAATGCACTTTCAAAGGTGCAAGGTTGTTCAGT